AAGAAAAAGGCAATCATGAGGATGTTGAGGAGCATACAGAAGTTGTCACAGAAAGCTCCCATGATAATCATGATCAAGTGTATCCTTTGGTGGTAGATCATAACTTTCACCATTTCCGCTCTGACATGCTGGGCTCGAGTGAGGAGATGCAAGCTAAACTTATCGAGAACCTTGCATGGAGACTTGCTCTCCAATTCGTGCTGGAAGAAGAAGATCAAGAAAGGGTGCAGAAAGAAGTTGTGGAGGATGACAAAAGTGAAGCAGAAGGAGTTCTTGATCTTTTCTCAGGGGTGATACCACATGAAGAAGAAAGGGAGGTTGAAGAAGCAATTGGCGTCCAGGATGAGGACGGAGTTAAGGTGGAAGAGGCCTGCACCGGCCATGAGTTACATGTGATATCTCCACCAAACTTCGAGGAGCTGCTTGGCAAGGACCCATTTGCAGTCTCTCTTTGCCAGACCAAGGCCACATCGACATCGGTCCCTCTTGGTGGACGCGATGGTGGCCAATCGATGCTGTCATATCTGGTTTGGGGCAATGAGACGAGCGAAGAGAAGAAGAGGTCTCTAGGGTGGAGACTTCATCTGCATCAAGTACATGAGCCTTCATCACCTGCCACACCACATGCTCGTGACTTGAGACTCCACCTCATCGACGAGAACCTCAACTTCAAGGAGGTTCTAGCATGGACCGAAACTTATGAGCCATCGTCCGGCTCACGACGTGAAAGAAGCGCTTGTTGGGAGGCAACCCAACCAGTCGGTTTGCATTTCTTTCTCTATTTCTCTTCGGTGGAGTCAGTTTTGTTCTTTGATTTTAGAGTCAATAACTCAACCTTTGTGAGATTTTGTGTGGTGTTTGTGTTCTGATTACTCTCTCTTTCTGGAATGCACCGCCTGACCCGTTCATCATCATTCACCCTTGATCTGGTAACTTCGTTCTACCCTCCTTATCTTTCCTCCATTGAGGACAATGTCGTGCTTAAGTGTGGGGGGATGTTCGATTATGTATGCGGGTGAATGTTTGGTTGTTTGTGTGCTTGGAGCCTAGTCCACTGTCCAAATTTTTAAATTTGAGGGCTCCAAGTACGTGTTTCCTTGCAATTGCCTGCTCAGTATGCTTTGAATTGACAGTCTTTATAGTAATATGCAACCTAGGGAGGTAGTGTAGCACTATGGAGGATGTTGATGCATTTAAGAAGTCTCATTGCTTCTTCATATTGTGTTGGTTGATTGAGTGAATTAGTGATCTTAGGACCCTTGAATTGTGTGGTGTTGTGGATTCTCTACCTGTCATGGACTCTTGTATCATGTTTTGAGTTTAACAGGTGCTCGAAAATGTGCTTCAAAATAACGTCTCCCGTGCGAATAGGGCGAAAGTGTGTAAGGGGAGACGGGAATTCGTTCCCAATTTCCACCTACTACCTCCAGCCCCCTTACATGTCTTTCCCCCACACGAGGCTCGAGACATCCGCTCCTGGCATGGCCGGTAAGAGCAGGTTGGGACCCTTGAAAAAAAAAATAAAAAAAAATAACAGAAAACATGCAAAACAGAAAAGAAAAGGGGTTCCAACCATCTTCAAGAAGAAAATAGAGCACCTTGAAAAATGTGAGTCCATGATCTTTTGTTTTTGAGAATCTCTTCATCCACAATTCATTTGTCCTCTGTTCACTATTTGCCATGATGCCGACTCGATACTAGTGCTCTCGCCGAAGAAGCTATGAGATGACTTGTGTTTCGGTTGACCTCGTAAGTTGCTAAATGATCTAGGAAGTCCTCTACCTACGATCTGGGGTGTTTGTTGCTATAGAGGTCTGGAGAGTTGCATTGGTTTGAGTTAGGTTTGCTTGGGGACAAGCAAACGGTTAAGTGTGGGGGAGTTTGATAGACCGTCATTTACACATGTTTTTACCCCCATTCTTACACCGTTTGAGGTGTTGATTCTCGTGTTTTAGGCCGATTTCACGGTAGGTTGTGCTTGTTTGTGATATTTCAGGTCCTAGGACGTGAATGAAGGCTTAGGAGCGAGTCTGGGGTCGATTGGACGAGGATCGGACGCATGGCGAGGTTCTGGGGAAGTCGCACGGGCACACCCACAACCCGCACGGCCGTGCAAGTGACCAGTTTGGCCGTGCGGGATCGTGCGTGGGCACGCACGGGATTGTGCGTGGCCACGCACGGCCGTGCAAGTGACCAGTTTGGCCGTGCGGGATTGTGCGTGGGCACGCACGGGCACAAGTGAAATCCGCACGGCCGTGCAACATACAATTCTGGCCGTGCGAGTCGGGAATGGCTGTTTTTAACCCAAATTCGAGCCAAAGGAGAGGGAGAGCTGGGTTTTGGATCCCAAACACCCAAGGGACGAACCCTAGAGAGAGAGAGCGACTTGGAAACATTCTTGGAGCTATTTTGGAGGATTTCTTCGCCATTGGAGCTCGGGAATCAAGCTTGGAGATGGAGATTGAAGATCTAGATCAGATTTCTGCAGTCTCTCTCTTCTCTATGGAGTAACTTCCCTTCACTTAGGTTTTGAGGAACCTTAGTTCCATGAGTTAGGATCTTTCTTGTATGAAGTTTTGGATGCTATATTGTTTGATTATAATCGAATGATGCATGTTTATTGAGTCAATTGAAGTCTGATCAACTTTTCCTGATTCCTGCTGCAATCTGAGATAGATAGAATCTGATTAGGTTGCTAGAGTCTCATCATTCGGTAGTAGGAGATTGGCTATACGAGAGTTAGCCAGTTTACTGCTTTGTACTGGAATCCAATTCCAATAGTGGAGTTCTGTGCTTATTGATTCAGCTTTCTATCCCGGTGAAGACTAGTCGTCTGCCGGATAGTTAGACTGAGAGGGCTTGGTCAGCTTAAGAGATTCCAAGCTACTGTTGGACCTTCCTTAGTTTAATCAACAGTAAATCAACCAAAAGGAATTACAACTTGGACCTAATTGAGGAGCTAGGGGGAATCATACCTAAGTGAGTTCCCAAACTGTAATTAGTAGTTTTACTTAGTTTAGTTAGTAGAGTAGTTTGGTTAATCAATCCTTAATCTAGTTTCCTAGATAATGAACTGAAGCTGAGTAATAGTAACTCTAGAGACCCGTGGATTCGATATTTATTACTTGTGCCACTATACTGCAGTCTCTTTCATTGGTTACACTTGGCCATTGTTAGGTGTTGTGTTTTAGAGCATCACCAACACAAATGCAAGTAACTACCAAAGCGTAATGCAAACACTACCAAAGAAAATGCAGATAACCACCAAAACATAATGCAAACACTACCAAAGCATAATGCAAACAGTACCATAATAAAATGCAAGGTAGCTACCAAAGCAAATCCTCTACCAATGCAAACACTAACATTCTAGATTACCTGCAGAAGCAAAGCTGAACGCTCTCCGGCTAACTGTATTTGATCTCTCTGATCGGGTTATCGTTTCTAACCACGACCTTGACCGGCGATCCATGTTCGGAACCCAACGCCGCCGTCAGCAACGTCGGAGGAAGATTCAAAAGTGGCGAGGCAATGGAGGGAGGGAGATCGGGGGTGCTAGGGATGGAGGGAGGGGGATGGAAGGTTACGCGAGAGAGGAAGGGAATGGAGGAGGGCGGTGGAGGGGAGGTTGGCTGGCCGGACGTGATGGAGGGGGTTCTCGGGAGGGAGGGCGGACGGCGGGAGGTAGTGGGGGAGGGAGTGTGGTGGTAAGCGGCGGGTTACAGTAGGGTTAGGGTTTGGATATAATTTATAGAGTAATCAGGTGTGGTATATTTTTTATTTCCAAAATTACCCTAATATAATCTTCATCATTAATTTAAAAATAGAATAAAAAAGAAATAATGAATGGTTTAGATTAAGGTAGCCACCGTGATTACTAAAAACTAAGTAACCACGCTAACTCATCCCAAGGTTTGATCTATTGGTAATACCACTAGTCTAGAACGTGTAGGTCCTAGGTTTTTATCCCTTAAGTAGTTAAGTATTGCTTTAATCACAAAAAAGTAGAAACCAAGTCACCCATATCGAAAAAAGAGCTTGTATAAATATGTGAAATAAGCAACATATTTAATATTTAGATGACACAATTGATATCAATGCTAACTACTGCTAGGAAAATATTCGAATTAGTTCCCCAAGTGTTTAATATAAACAAATTAGTCCCCCAATGTTTTAAAGTTTAACAATTTGGCTAGAAAATTATATTGTTTAGAGTTGTTAAATTTTTATTATGTATAGTGTGTCATTGGATAACTTGATAATTTTATAAATTAGAGGTAATTAGTAGGATGCTTGGATATTAACTTCAGAAATTTTGGGTCTGTATTCTTAACTTCAGAAAAAAGAGCTTGTATAAATATGTGAAATAAGCAACAGAAACGTATTTTCCAAAGAATGTGATAGTTATATCAAAAAGTCAAGACGATCCTCTTCTCTCTCTTATCTTTCTCTTTTCTCTGAGAGCTCGCAAATTCGGATCGATGGCCTCCGTCGCCGACGGAGCCTCCCAGGGCGCCGTCAGTGGCGGCAGGTCCTGGGCTTCTTTGTTCCACGTTGCTGAAGAGAATTGATTGGAGTATTACGAGCCAGAATTCATCAACGGATCTCTACGAATCCCTAAGTCGGTGATTGAGGAAGGAGCGAAGCATTGGGATAACAGTTTGGTTGGGCAATTCCTGGTTGATCCTCCTTCAATCTCGGCGCTCCGCTTCTGGGCTAACTGGATTTGGGGTAAGGAAGGTGAAGTGAAGGTCTCTATGCTGGAGGACAGACTGGTGCTATTTCAATTTCCTTCGGAATCGACTTGTCGATGGGTATTCGAGGGCGGCCCATGGCACTATAAGGAGAAGATCATTTGTCTAAGGCGTTGGGTCCCGGGAATCAGAGCATTGGAGATTAATAATTCGGCCATACCAGTGTGGGTCAATCTAACAGGTATTCCTGCTGAGCTAGCTTTACGAGAGGGTCTAGGGAGAATCGCGAGTTCTATTGGTAAACCTATGTGTATGGATCATTCAATATCCCAGAGGAGGAAGATAGGTGCAGTGAAGGTGTGTGTTGAGGTTAGCGCTAAGAAGCCTTTGGTGAACAGGATCAGTATTACCCCTGATGATATGGAGGAGATGTATATTGGGGTTGATTATTGTGGCTTGCCCCGTTGTTGCTCAGCCTGTGGTGTCTTTGGTCTTGACTGTTCGATGCCTCCTCTGGGAGCTTCAACCAAGAGGGTTTGGAGACCGAAGAAACTGCAGGTTGCACCAATACAAGAGGTGGGTAATGTGGTTTCTAATCAGACAGTTGGGGAAAAAGAACCAGTGAAAGATGGGATTATTGTTGAGAATGCTGGGGAGGGTGTGTCCGAGAAGGGTAAGGAAGTAATAGTTGATTCCACTCCTCCAGTCATTGCGAGTGCACTTCCCTCACACGAGGAGTTTAACAAAGTCATAAATGGAGCTAAATCGAAGTCTACTCCCAGGAAGTCTGCACCAGTCTTGCACTCTAATGCCTTAGAGCTGCTTTGTGGGAGAGATATCAAATTACAGGCTCCTCAGAAGAAACTAGGGGGCGTGAGGGGCTTAGGAGTAAGGGAGCCACTAACGTGGCTGCTCCGCATAGATGACAACTCTCATATGGAATACAAGGGGCTTTAACAGTCCCCTGAAGCACGTTGTTGTGCTTAGATACATTAGAATTCATAAGGTTTCACTTTTTGCTCTTCTTGAAACTAGAATACAAAATAGGATAGTATAGATACAATAAGGGAGAAATTTGTAGGGTACCAGTTCACTGATAACTACTCGAAAAGCAGATTAGGGAGGATATGGATTGGGTGGAATGATGATATGAAGGTACAAGTGCTGAAGGAAGAGGAGAATTTCATTCACTGCTTAGTTGCAGGGCAGAAGGGGACTCAATTCTTCTTTACTGTAGTATATGGTTCAAATGAGGAGAAGGATAGATTGCTAACTTATCGAGCTATGAACCAGTGAAAGGTAAAAGGGTTCCCCTCGATGATTGGTGGGGACTTCAATGCTATTCTTTGCCCTGCTGAAGCATCAAATTCAGTCTCCATCAACACAAGTATGACAGATTTTAGAGAGTGGATTCAGATGGAAGTAGTTGATCATAAGGCAACAGGGCCTGTCTTTACCTGGGCCAATCATCAACAACTCAACCCCATTGCCAGAAAGCTTGACAGACTGATGGTGAATGAGGACTGGTTTGAACACTTCTCAGACTATGTGGTGGAGTTCATTCCTCCTGATTTTTCTGACCACTGTGGGATTATAATCAAACCCCATGTCCCAACCAAGAGCTTCCCCAAGCCTTTTTGGTTTTATGACATGTGGCTTGATCATCCTTCATTCTCTGATATTCTGAATAACTGTTGGCAGGATCCTTCTCATTCTGGTTTATTTGGTGTTAGGAAGAAGTTGGTCTCTCTCAAGGCTGAGTTGAGGAAGCTAAATAAAGAGAAATACTCAGACATATCTAAAAGAGTCAAGAAAAAAGAGGAAGCCCTCAAGACTAAGCAACTGCAAGCCCTTGAGCATCCTACAGAGGTCCTATTTGAAGAAGTCAATATTATCAGAAAAGAATATCTTCACTTAGCCTCAGCTGAGGAGGCGTTTTACAAGCAAAAATCTCGTATCAGCTGGCTGGGGTTAGGTGACTCTAATTCTTCTCATTTCCACTCCTCTGTTAAAATCTGAACTGCTAAGAAGCAAATAAGGAAAATTATTGCATCCAGTGGGGAGGAAATAACAGAGGTTCAAGACATTGCGGATGAAGCTGTATGTTTTTATAAAAAGCTGTTTGGGGTGGTCAACTCAGAAGTGAGGGTGGATAACAATTTTCTGGAAGGCTGTATAAGAAACAAGTTATTTGCTGAAGACCAAAAGCTTTTATGTGACAAAGTCACTATGATAACGATGTAATTGCACATATTTGCACCCCTAGTTCTTATCCGTTTGAGGGGCATAGTCGTGTATTTTTGGCCTATTTTACGCCGGGTTGTGCTACTTTGTCATATTTCAGGTCCCAGACGTCGAAGGAAAGGCTTAGCACAAGTTTCGAGGCATTCAGAAGTCATTCGGTCGAGCTGGAGCCAAAACACGGGCACGCCTAAATCAAAGCACGGTCGTGTTCCTCGACCGTGTTTTTACTGCCGAGGCTTGATCCAAGACTGTCAAACACTAGCTCAAAACACGGGCGGGACTAACCCAAAACACGGACGTGTCCATCAAAAAGCACGCCCGTGTTTTCCCCAAAGTCTGGCCGTGTATTTACCACGTGGCAAGGTCACGAGCGGGCTGGAGCAAAGCACGGCCGTGCCCTCGACCGTGTTTTGCCCAGTGATTCCCTTTTAGGCAGATTTCAGCCAAAAGAGAGGGGGATTCGAGTTTTAGAGAGATAGAACGATCCCTAGAGAGAGAAAGCGACGAACAAGAGTTCCCAAGTGCCATAGCTTGATCTTCATCACCATTGGAGCCCGGCTTGAGCTTAGAGAAGTGCCGATCGACGACCAAGAACTGAATTCCATCCTTCATAGTATGGTTTCCGCATCTGAATCTGCTTTTGCTTCTTTCTCCATGGAGTAGTTCTCCCATTCATCTAGGTATGGAGAACCCTAGATTTGTATGTTAGGTCTGATTGTATGAACCCAAGTACATATTTCATGAGTTGATTAATATTCGATTGAGGATTGAATGACTTGAATCCTGATCAAATTCCTGTTGTTTCTACTTTAACCTAGAATGAGAATATCTGCCTAGGTTGATAGAGCATCCTTAATTGAAGGTAGTGAATTGGCGACTTTAGTCGAGGAGCCAATTCACTATTCTGTACCGAATTTACTTCGGTAGTTAGGGGTTGGCAACGGGAAACGGGTATTTGGGTATACCCGTACCCGTCCCATTTTTTAAGGGTTATGGGTACCCATATTACCCGTATTATTATAAACGGATGGGACTTGGGATTGTACATTCCTAATATGGGTACCCGCGGGTTACCCGCAAATACCTGTTTGGGTAATGTGGGTACCCGTTATACCCATTTACCAGAAATAGCCCACAGCCCAACACCCCAACCCAATTCACTAATTCAGAAATGTGGCATTGGGCCTTGGCCATTTTGGCCCTTACCCTTAGTCGACCCTTACCCTGCCTGGCTGCCTATTCCCTTTCGGCTTTCACTTAACTGCGAGACAGTCAAACAGCGAGAGTGTGAGACAGCGTTCTCCACCCAGCGCAGCCGCATCGCCAGCCTCAGCGACAGGCCGACAGCGAGACCTAGCTCGCTAGCTCCGCCTTCGCGTCTCCGCCGCTCCGCGCGCTTCCTCCTTCATTCACCGGCGCGGGCCGCGGCGGCTTCCTTCTTCTCACTTTGCTGCGCCGCCTCCAATAGCAGACCAGCAGCAGCCAACTTTCCCAGCCAGGAGCAGGGGGAATATCAGCAGCATCACCATTCACCTATCTATTTAGGTATGCAGCTGCAATTCTCTTTTCTTTTCTACTTATAGTACATATTCTGGACTCTAATTACTAGTTAGGTTTGTTCTGCTAATTACTAATTATGTTTCTAATTTCCAGCATCTGTCTATTTGGTTTATGTTGATTTGGTTTATAGTTTCCATGGCTAATCAAGGGAATGAAGCCAGTCAAGGGAATGAAACTTTGGGTATTTATGGGTAATATGGGTACCCGTTATCCGTCCCGTACGGGTAATGGGTACCCGTTTCCCATATGGGTTTGGGACATGGGAAGGACTTTGGCCTCCAAATGGGACTGGGTACCCGTTTAAAACGGGACGGGTATCCCGTCCCGTCCCGTTGCCCACCCCTATCGGTAGTGGAGGTTTTGTTCGTTAGGGCCTCAATCTTTGCCCAATTTTACGCTAGGTTGTGTTCCTTTGTCACATTTCAGGTCCTAGCACATAAAGTGAAGCATAGGCGCAAGTTTCAAGTCAATCAGAGATCAATTGGCGATTAGGGAGAAGAAACTCGGGCATGACCTGAAGAAGAATGGATTTTACCTTACTTTATGGACAAAGAATCATACAAGCTTGTAATGAAAAGAAAGAGGACAAGACTACGAGCGTGTGGGATCAAACGGCGACTGATTCGGAGTCCGGACGAGGGAGAAACGAAGCATTGAATATAGGGGAACAGGTTCGACAGTAAAAACACGGGCGCGCCTAAATCAAAACACGGCCGTGCCCATATTTAGGCACGACCGTGTTTTGGCCGACGCGCGCAAGCGTGTTTTTAACACGGGGCAAAGCACGGGCGGGCAAAACCAAAGCACGGCCGTGCCCTCGACCGTGTTTTGCCCAGAATCGGGTTTTTTAACCCAAATTCGAGCCAAAGGAGAGGGAGAGCTGGGTTTTGGATCCCAAACACCCAAGGGACGAACCAAAGAAAGAGAGGGCGATTTGAGGGCATTCTTGGAGTGGAATTGGAGGATTTCTTTGCCTTGGAAGCTCGAGGAACAAGCTTGGACTTGAAGAGTGATCATCTGAAGATTCTTACTGCAGTCTCTCTCTTCTCTATGGAGTAACTTCCCTTCACTTAGGTTTTGAGGAACCCTAGCTATGTTTGTTTGATTGGATGATTGTATGAGTACTCTGACTTGATAATCTTGAGTTCATATTCAATCTATGCATGTTTTCATGATTCAATTATGCTTTAGTCGAGATTATTGATTCTGCTTTGATCCTATGAGAGGGAATACCTGATTAGGTCAATAGAGCACCATTGGTTGTTAGTAGTGGATCGATTGCTTTAGTCGAGGGTTGATTCACTGCTTTGCATCGATTGAGAACCTCTTTCGATAGAGGGAGTCTAGTTCAGAACGCCTTGATAAGTTGTTCTAGAGAAGGATACGTCCCTCTAGGCAATTGACTCAAGAGGGCCTTGTTCCTTTAGTCGAGACTCAAGGTCTAGTCAAGGATTCTCCGCATTGTGAATGAAAGTGAAACAAGTTAGAAATCATCAATCGTTAGTCTGGCTAGTGGCTAGGGGGAATCATACCTAAGTGAGTTCCCAACCTGTAATTAGATTAACTTTAACTGTAGTTTGCTAGAGTAGTTTTGATTCTTTCATCTTAATCTGTTTTGCTAAATAATAAACTGAAGCTGAGTAATAGTAACTCTAGAGACCCGTGGATTCGATATTTATCACTTGAGCCACTATACTGCAGTCCCTTCCATTGGTTACACTTGGCCATTGTTAGGTGTTGTGTCATAGCGAGTCAAGTTTTTTGCGTTGTTGCCGGGGACTTTCTAGAGTATTAGGAAAGGCAGAAGTTTCTTACTTTAGCGTTTTTCTTTTCTTTTCCACCCTTGCTTTTCACTTGGGTGTTTTTGTTTTTGTTGGTGCAGATCTGAATCATGGATCCTCATGGCTTCTCCAACAATTGGGGGTATCCACCACCACCCGAGTGGTATTACCCCGAGACTCCCTGGAGCAATCAAGGAGGAGAAGACTATGGATTCGGGTTCCAGTACCAACCCCCTTACTACGGAGAACAACCGGACCCCTGGGCATATCAAGAACAACCTCATTATCAAGAAGAATTTCTCCCACAACCAGAAGGGCCATCGGCGCTGGAGTTACCCATGGCGGCCTTCACGGGCCATTCTGCAGAGCCAT